TGTTTCAAACAATCGAAGTAGGGGTACATCGTCCGGCCCGGGTTGATATTTATACATACTCTCCCTATATTGCACCTGGTTAAGGTTTATACTTGGGACTTAATTGGAATTTTTATTGTGATATTCGGGACGAGTCAATGAGTCAAGTAACTACTAGAAGAAAAACCAAAACCTAAAAATTGTGCAAGAGATAGTTCAAGAAGGAGGAGCCACAAGTTCACCCATCTTGAAGACGAAGTAAGGAGCATCTAGCTGAGGAGAAGAAGAGCCCTCAAGCCCCACCAATTTCATGCAACACTTGAAAGAGGAGGACATGATTAATGAAGAAAACTTTGGTGAAGAAGAAGGAGCTTCTTCAACTTTTTCAACACCAACAATGGTTGGAGAAGGACAAAGACAAGTGGCCATTCCACATACTCTCTATGAGTATTCAAGGTCAAGAGCATCCAACATCACCTCAAGCATTTTTGCGTCATCAATGACCATAGAAATCAATAGTCAACTTATCTAGATGGTGCAACAAGCTGGGAGATTTGGAGGAAGGAATGATGATGATCCGATGCAACACTTTAAGACATTTTTAGAGATCGTCAACTCCATACAGGACATGATGCTATCAAAGATGGATCTCGATAACAAAGAGCAAAGTAGTGGCTTGACTACCATCCACCAGACACCTTGACCACATGGGAGACAGAAGAGCTTAAAGACGAGATTATGCGATTTCAACAGAAGGAAGGAGAGAATTTTTACTATCCTTGGAGGAGCTTTCTAGGAGTATATCAAGGCATTCCCCATCATGGATTCACGCCAGAGCATATTGCAAAGAACTTCGCCAAAGGAATTGATCAAGACACCATGATAACGATAAACCAGTCAGCCGATGGAGATTTCATAACAATGGCGGGAGTGTAATGGAAGGAGCATTTCATTATATTGGAAAGGAAGTTAAAGAACTGGTCCAAGTGTCTATAACCGATTAAACCATTGAAAGCTTCCCAAGGAAGAGAGGATGATGTCGCCACCTTCTGTGCATACATGAAAGAGGTGACCTAGCAACTAAGAATGACTTCAATGGAGCCAAATAATGGACTAATTGCATCCTTGTTCGTTTGTTAAGCATGTGGAGAAGAAGGCCATGATGGATGCGACAACTATAGCCAAGACGGGCAAGGACATGTTGATGTCAATTGCATAAATTAAGGGTATAAATTGAGACCTCAACATACCTTTCATACCGTATGGTCAATGGCCTGCTCCAAGAGGGAAGATGCCCGAGGAATATCTCAACATCACCTCTACCAATGCACCCTATGTTCATGAAGCACAATGGCAAAAGAAGTCAGGTCCACCTGGATATGGAAATCAACCTCAATACAAGGGGCAAGGATAAGGTGTCTCCAATCCGAAACCCTCCAGATTCAAGAAGTCGTTGGCAACAGTGATAGGACTACAAACGACCTACCAGAATATTAAAAGAAAACTTGCACTCCTAATCAATGGCCAACCTCGAAATCCTTAAAGAAACCTTCCGAGAAACACATAAAAAATCCAAAGAAAGAGGAAGTCAAATTCATCTCGACAAGGATATGAGCGGCCAAAACTTTCCAAGCACGAAAAAGGAAGAAGAAAAGAAGAAAGTTGACTATCCATCCCTATTTAGAAATATGATAGAAGCTTTTGGAGAAACAGAAGTGGTACTGCCAACATTGGAGAAGATGATTTCCATGCAACATCTTAAAGAGAAGCTAGAGATTTTCATGGAAGAAGATGACAAGGTCGAAGATAAGGAGACCAAGTTTAATAAAACCCCTTGGGATTGTGCAGAATTTGTCCTAGTTAATGAAGTAAAGAAGGATCCTGGCCATATCTTCATAAAAAAAGGTCACCTAACCTTGGTTGAAGTGTCAACATACTACCGCTGCATAACTATGAAGAGATGGGACTAACCAACATGGGGTATGTCAACATAGAGATCACACTAGCCAACACCACACCTTTGAAAGCTCGTGGAGTTGTCCGGGGCCTTAACACCCAAGTTGGTCCGTTCATTTTCTTCCTAGACTACATCGTGCTTGACATTGAGACAAGCAAAGAGTATTCAACCATCTTTTGAAGGCAGTTCCTAGCCTATTATCGAGCAAGAATTGATGTTGTTAACAAAGAAGTAGCCTTACATGTAGAGAAAATCATGCATAAAGTGGTTAAGTCAGTTAAAATAATGATGTACTCGAGGAGTATCCAGAAGAGGATCCAGAGGACGAGATCAAATTTTGATTTGGATCTCATTTTGAGGATTCGGAAAACATAATAGTTCATCACCATGATCTTGACCCAAAGTATGGAGGAGAGTTGAACAAGGTTCTGCCAATTCCCGGTATGAAATAAGCTCAAATGAAAGTCAGAATAGTCAGTAAAAGGGAAAAGATGATGCTTGAGAAGATCAAATAACTGAAGTATGAGGCACCAGAGGAATATCAGGAGTTCATCATTCCACATCAACCTAACGGATTTAACTATGATCATATCCTTGCAACGAGATGGTGAGATGAAGATGTAGTGACCCCTGATTGTGAAATCAACTAAAAGAGAACCTAGCCGAGCCTACCTCAAAGGCATAAAAGAGAGATCTCTTCTTGGGAGGTAGTGCATGTCTTGCATCAAACTTAATAACGTTAAATAAAAGTGATACCATGGAGAAAACCCGGATCTCTCTTTCTTAGATTAATTTTTAATTTGAAAGTTTGTTTGTGGCTTGAAAATTTGAGTTACTCATTGAGGAAAACATTGTATCATTTGGATATGTGTTACATTTAGAGAAATTTTCAGTCTTATGACGAGAATAAAAGATTCAAATACGTGAAAAATAGTATGAAATCAACTTTCGTACTACCGAGGTAAGTATTCTAACAAAAAAAATGTTGGAATCCGAAGCAGAACACGAAGGGAAGCCATGTCGGCTACCACCGCGGCATCACCACCGCTCCCCCGCCACGATAAAAGGCACCATTTTCGGCCAAACCACCCACTCAACCCTCATTTTCACTTATCCTTCTCTCTCTTAGCTAAAAATCCTCTCTCTTTTCTCTAAAATTCAATATCCCCCCTCAAAAACTTCAACTTTCATTCACCAATTTGACCTTCAAAACTCAGAATTTTCCCTCAAATTAGAGATACAACCTACACATCACCTACCAAACAAACTCCAACCAAAGAAAATCTAAAAAGCCTCACTAGATGAGCCACAATGAATCTACCCGCCGCGACAACGCCTCTCTCTCTCTCTCTCTTTGTTCTTCAAATTTTCTTTGACTTTATTGCAAGTTTCTTCAATCCAAGTAAGTACCCATGATCTTTATATGAATTTAGGAGCTTGAACCATGAATATAAGACTTCGTTTGTGGACTTCGATTGAGGAGCTGCAATCTCACGGCTAAGTTTGAAATTGTTTCAGAATGGTAGGAGAATTTGATCCAGTTTAGAATAGTCACAAATTTACAGCCATGATCATATATCCTTAGCGTCTCTCGTAGAACCTTACTTCGAAAGCGATGTACGGTTCTATTGAAGAAGAGGTTTGTTTAAGAGGTTGAGGTGCCTTCGGTTTTGCAGAACGTAAGAGTTCAAAAGAAAATCTAAGCTATTGAGCGAGTGAGAGATCAGAGAAGGAAGGCGTTGCATAGGAAAGCTCCCTCTAGGTTCCCTAACCATGTGTCCCTCGATGATCGGTGGCATACAAGGTGCCAATTTCTTATTTTGTTAGATCCCACCTTGTGTCGAAGCATTTAATTGAACTAATGGGTGAGATGGACCCTTCGAATTTATCCCTTGAGGCATCACATCGTTCGATCGAATGATGTTTGACCGAATATGAGTGCCATTTCTAGTCATAATCCTAAGAGACTTGGATTTCCATCCTTGCACCTTGAAGGAGTGCAAGGTCGACTAAGCTTCCATTCAAATCAACAAATAACGAAATAGAGGAAATCAAACATCACTACATATGAAATAAAATAGTAGTATTAAACCAAACATTGAGTTTTATATGGTTAGAACCCCTAGGGTTCACAACCTATGCAACTAAGAAACTTAGCAAGAAATGAGGAGAGGTTCCTGGGTGTTCACCGACTAAAACAAAGACCCCTGAATACCCACAGAAATCGATACCAATGATAGAGAAAACAGCGCCTAGGCCATCATTTCTGGTGCTATTTTCCCCTATGAGGTTGGTCACATTCTAAGTCAGGAGGCTTGTTCTGTCGGCAGAGTAACAACCCTTGCTTGACCCGTCGTCTCTCCTCCTTGAGCTCTAAATTTAGAAATATATTTATAGGCCTTTGATGAGACTTTCTAAGGAGGATAACTCACAGTTCCAGTGTCATCCATTCAATCAAAAGGCTCCAAACACATGACCAACGAATCAGGGAGAAATTTTACAATGCTATATAGTATTGGTGCTATAGGATTTTACCTTTATGTACAATTTAAAATTGTACATTTACGTTATGGTACAACTTTAGATTGTACCTATACTTTTTGTACAAATTCTTTTATGGTACAACTTGGACTTGTACCTTTATGTGATGGTACAACTTCAAGTTGTAAAGTTGTACCATAACATAATGGTACAAATTGCTTTATGGTACAACCTAAACTTATACATTTAATGTTATGGTACAACTTTAAGTTGTACATTAAAGCACCAATACTATATAGCATAGTAGAAGTGCTCACGAATCAGGAGGCTCCAGGGTGACTTTCTAATGAAGTAGTTGAACTCCACCAAACGGCAGATGGAGTGCTATTTAACACCCAGAGGCTCCGGTTTGTGCGCCATTTCTCTAATTTGTCTTCTCTTCGAATCCCGACTCCAGCTACTGGATCTTGATGTCCCCTATGGCTTCCAAGTGGGCCACTAGACTGCTTCGACATGAAAAAGTACAAAACACTACCGAAAGCATATCAATAGTATAAAAGCAATCATAGGGTTTTTATAACACCTGAATTATACATATATTCAACTACACTTTTACATCCTAAAATGAGCTAAATTGTACTAAGTTCATTCGATTTCCCGATTTTACGCTTGGTTTTGTGTTTAAGTGATGTTTTAGGTTATTCCATCCAATTAGAAGAAAGAATGAACTAATTTGGTGCTCGGATGATACAAAGATGGTTAGGGTTCAAAATCTAACGTCGGTGGAAATCGTGCCCGTGACGTCCCGGGCGAGGTCAACGAGCCATACTGCTCCAGCCGCGTCCCCTTTTGGTGTCAACATACGAAACCCATCCCGTATTATAGTGACGAATCAAAAATAGAGGTGATTGACAATGCAGAGTCAAATCGCAAACTGCAAAGTCAAATTGCCCCTGCTAAACGGAAGGAAAAGCTGTCAAAAGGGCCAACGTGGGAATCAACATGACCACGTTAACAGACCACGTCAACATCAACACACCCTGCAACATGGCCACGTTGAAGACCACGTCCGCAAAAGTAAAAAAGCTTTCAAAAGGTCAAAGTGGGCAATAACATGGCCATGTTCAAGACCACAACAACATCAAAACACCCTGCAACATGGCCACGTTAACAGACCGTATCAACAAAAGTAAAGAAAAAAGCTTTCAATGGGTCAACGTGGGCGGCAACATTGCCATGTTCGAGACCACGTCAAGATCAACACACCCAGCAACATGGCCACGCTGAAGACCACATCAATAAAAGTCAAGGAGCTCTCAACGGTTCATGGAAAACAACATGGCCATGTCCAAGACTACGTCCACATGAACACACCCTTCAACACGACCATGTTGAAGACCACGTCAAGAGAAGTCAAGAAGCTGTCAAAGGTTCAACGTGGGCATCAACAATGCTGTGTTGCAGGCCGTGTTCACTGTCAGAAACACGGCTTGGGAACATTACATTGACAATTTTTGCACAATTTAAGAGAGCAACTAACAGTTTCGTCCACCTACTAGTCAACACGGCCTGGAACACGACCGTGTTCTCTGACCACGGTGAGTAAAAATTCAGCCAATCAATCTATGCAATGCTGAGACATCAATCTGGTGTCCAGCTGTGTATACGGCCTGGAACACGGTGGCATTCCCAGACCACGTTAGAGCTGTTGCTGCCTATAAATAGAAGCTTGAAAGAGAAGAAAAGCTACACATCACACACCCCTACTTTGATGCTTTGGTTTTTCTTTCTTTCTTTCTTTCTTTCTTTCTTTCTTTCTTTCTTGTGTTTGAAGTTAGTCGAAACTCTGTCCATTTCCATTCCAAACTCTTGTTACTTCTTTTCATTTCGCTAATCATATCTCGTATTTCATTAATCGTGGTTCTTATGTTCGTGTTCGTATTTGGGAATACCGTGGTCTATTGCGTTATTGAGATTAACGAAGTAAGATTCTTTCTGTGGGGTTTTGATAATCATTTATGGTGGTAGATTGGTCAGTTTCCACCATTTTCGCCCAACGATTATTCCCCCGTTGGAAGGTTGCTAGATGTAATCTATTAACTCAATATATATACCGTATTCTCAAACCCTTCGTTATTCGTCGTCGTCATCATGGCAATGTTCTCCACCTTCTTCTTTCAAAATCTCAACATGTCCGACTAATCTTCTAGTTGTTCCGGATTTGATGAAACCTAATATGTTTTATATGGATTGAGTGGAATCTTTGATATAGACGTGTTGTTTTCGTTCTTACGATATTTTCTCGACTTATCATGTGCAAGTATCAATAGTACGCGTTTATTGTATATTTTGTCTGATACATGTAAATGAGAATGCAAGGTAATTTTTCATGTTAGATATCTCGTGAAAAGAATGAATTGATCGGAGCCACCAGCGATGGGGTCACATAGTTCCTCTGGACTAGCTTAAAAACCTAATACGGAAATTCACAAATCTGGTTAATGCTTTGGTTTAAGAGTTTTGTATGCTACGACTTCACATAAATCTTAAATTGAAAGGGTGTTAATACATGTGTGAACGAGTTAACACTAAATTGGGAATTTTCACGCTATAAGATAAGAACACTCGTCTATGTTGTATTCAACACGTCTGTATATTTCATATTAGGGGAATTCACTTTCAGGATAACGCTTTCTCCACTTGATTTTACACTGAAAAATATTCCTTTGTATATTCATTATTTTATGTGCTTTTATATCTAAAAAATAACTAAAAACGATTGACTAAATAATAAGTAAAAGCCAACTACTAGTACACATAGTCTCTGTAGATACGACCTTGCTTCCTACTATATTGCCTTAGAACGATAGGTACCCTTTCCTATTTTTCCTGTGTTAGTTTCTGGCGATCAAGTTTTTGGCGCCGTTGCCGGGGACTACGCTTTAGAAAAAGCTTTGAACTATTAATTTAGCCACCTTTAATTTTCTTGTTATTTATCATATACACTTGTTGCTTTCACGGGTTATTCTTGTTTTTGTGCTTGAAATAGTGCATGACCCAAAACCACCCGAGTGGATTAGTCGACCTTGATCCCGAGATCGAGAGAACCCTTCGTCAATGAAGAAGAGAACATCAAGTAGAGCCACAAACAATGACTGAAGAGCAAGCCAAAGTCAACAATCACACTATGTCCGATTATGTCCGTCCTACCTTGGAGGGAACTCGCTCAAGCATCCGGAGGCCCAACATCGACGCTAACAAATTCGAAATCAAGATTGGGATCCTGCAAATGATCCAAAATTGGGTGCAATTCAATGACCTACCCGACGAAGATTCCAACTCTCGCCTGAGGAACTCACTCAAGCATCCGGAGGCCCAACATCAAGGACGAGTTTCGGGATGAATGGAGGCAAGAATGGCAAGAAATGAAGAAAACAGAGAGAACACGGCCAGGGACACAACCGTGTTCCCAGACCGTATTCAACACCTTTAGTGATTCTGGTCCAATTGTACACAATTTACTCCACATTTATTGATAGTTTGGCTTGGCATTTCATCGTCCCTCTACATATTTCATGCTAGGTTGTGCTTATTTTGATACATTTCAGGTCCTTGCATGTGTGGAAGGGTCGAGGACGTGTTTTGGGACGATTGGAGGTCGAAAAGCGCAAAAACAACCCGAAGAAAAGTCCAAAGTCACGGAATTAGCCGCAGTTCACGGTCAGAGCTGCGAGTTCACGGTCGCCAAGACCATGAACTGGAACCACAAATCGCGAACCGCAAAGCGTTAGAGGGGTTTCAGAGGTTTCAAAAGTGAAGCGGCGCATTTTGATAAGAGTTCACAGACGCGGCCTGATGTTCACGGTCGCGAACTGGGCGCGACTACGTATAAATAAAGAGTTGAAAGGAGGAAGAGGGAGAGCTTTTCTAGGGTTTTAATAATCAGAACAAAGGAGGGTTTCTAGTGAGAGATTAGGGTTTCCTCTTCCCATTCTAGAGAGAGAAAGTGTCATTCAAAGGAGGCATAAGGAGATTTGGGCTGGCCCTAAGCTAGAGGAGTGAAGATTCTTACCTCTCAATGGATATTCAAGCATGGAGGAAGGAAGATTGTCATCTCTTCATGGTTCTTTCTCTCCTCTTTCTTGTTTTCCTTTGCCTAGCTATGAAATAGCCTACCTATTCACTTGGGTGTCGTGAACCCTATCTAAAATTATGTGAATGCTTGTATGAATTGAATGATTTGTGTTGTGGTTGTGTTTAATGTGAATGTGAAGGTATTATTCATGAATGATTGTGTTGTGTGAAAACCTATATGTCTAATTGCCATTCTAACCTAGGTAGAGAGAAAACCCCCCTTCATTTATGCGAAAGAGGCTTTAATGCTGGCTTTTCTTGGGCAATTCATTATCTCCTAGTTAGGTTAATGCAGGCCGACCGAACTCTGATTCGAGGGTGTAGTCTATCCAATCCTTAGTCATTAGGTTGAGAGAGTCGCATTAGTGGCTTGGATCACATCCCCTTTCCTCGACCTAGAAACTAAGAGGGTAGCTTTTACTACTTGTTAGACTTCCCTACGGTTTACAACCCCCACACCACACATGACCATTCGATCCAACAAGTTGTAATTGTCAAATAGGGGGAATAACACCCGAGTGAACTATTCTCTCATCGAGATGACCTCGATTTACTTTACTTGCTTGTTTTTATTTTTAGTTTTCTTGTTTTAAACCCAAAACCGTTTTGCTAGATAAAAACCTAAGCGATTGAAGTAGGGGTACATGGACCGACCCGGGTTTAACGATTAAATACTTGACCTATACTGCACCCGACTAGAGTTTAAAAACTTGGGCTCTAGTCGGGATTAATTCGCGGTGTAATTTCGAGGGAGTCATTCAATCTGGACACGACACCGTTTCAGGCGCCAGAAGATTCTTGACATTCGACGAACACGGCCTGAATACGCTCATGTTCATAGGCCGTGTCCGCAGCTGAGTTCCAGAGGCTTTTGCAATCTCACTGGCATAGAAGATTATCATGGTCACTCAGACCGTGATAGTAATTAAAGAGGCCGTGCAGTCGGGCAAAAATGGAGCGTTTCATCGAGTTTTGAAGAAACACGGCCGGGACACGCCCATGTTCACTGGCTGTGTTATGGTTTTTCTCGCAGATGGCAAAACGCAACGCACTTGGGATAGAACACAGCCGAAGGACACAACCGTGTTTGAGTTGATTTCTGCAGACTATAAAGTCTGCAGCAGAAGGAAGAAGAGGGAGCATTTTTGGTAGGGTTTTAATTTTCAGAATAAAGGAGGGTTTCTATTGAGAGATTAGGGTTTCCTCCTCCTATTTCTAGAGAGAGAAAGTCCCCTTCAAAGGAGGAGGAAGGAGATTGGGCTTGTCCTAAGTTTGAGGAGTGAAGGTTCTTACATCTTAAGGGAGATTCAAGCAAGGAGTAAGGAAGATTGTCATCTTCTTTCTCTCCTTTTTCTTGTTTTCCCTTGCCTATCAGGTGATAATTTCTTGTGAGGATTTTAATTTGGATTGATGTGCGTTAATGGGAGGTCAGTGAGGGAGCGAGCAGCTAGCTAAAATCAGGATACCAAACTCGCCACCACTTAGACTAGTCGAATGGGTTCTTCGTCCATTCATTTTGGGACGAGAAGGAGATGGATGAAAAGTTGGGATTTTCGAGGGGAAGAGGATATCCAGATAGGATAATGGCCATCGCGATTATTTTTTAGGTCGTTGATGTGCGGAGCTCGGAAAGAGCTAGCGGCAGGCCGGTCACTACTGAGGAGTCGGAATCAACGTCGACGTTGTTGGTGGAATTGGATGGGTCGATCGTGGTGCTTGACTCATAGTAGCTGAAGCTCGTCGTTGACGGGGAAAGTCTATCAGTGAGTGCTCCATCATGGCCACGAGCGATGAATCAGTGAGTGAGTCTGTTATATGGTCCTTAATTATATGTTTATATATGGTAGAATATGTCAGCTAGCATGTGAATACAAGGACATGACGGAAATTAACGTAAGAGAGCTCGTAAAGAAATTGAGCGTGGGTGTGAGTTAAATGCGAGCTAATGTCAGAATGATGGTTGGGCTAGGTAGTATTAGCGGTACACCTTGTTAACTGGGCGATTAAGTTAATTGCTTCATCATAATCCTATGTAAAGGAATCAGTGGGAACTAAGCATGTACGTATGAATTTAGGTGGGATATGATGGGTCTTTAGAAGGAAAGAAGTCAAGGAGGAAGCTAATAGAATAAACCCACGCTGTGAGTTTATAATGAAGAATAAGAGAATACCACCTTTGATAAGACCTTCATATAAGTTTTTGTAATCATCCGTAGATGGAGCTGTGGCGGCTTTATTGGGATTCAACTGTTCTTGAAAGTTCCAAATTCCAAAACTCAGGAAGCTCTGAAGCTAGTTCGATGGGGGCTACTTGGAAGTGTTGGCGGCCATGACTCTTTGGTCGACAGTTAGACGGAGTTTAAGGTGAGTGTAAAGGGGGTAAATTCTACGCTTTACGAGTTTTAAATATGTGTTTTACGTGAAGTATATGCCAGTGCTTGATTATGTTTATGCTTGACAATGCATGTTCTTGTTGGAGATATTGTTTGATGTGCTTACTTGAGTTTTCATTATTTACTTTTTAAGCAATTTAGTTTCGGTCTTTTATTAAGAGGTTGTGATTGGTAAGAATGAGTTTTAGTAGTACTTCACCCTTAAATAAGTTAGGGTGAAGAGAGTAAGGGAAATAATAAGTAAGAACAAGATAAGTAACCTCGCTTAGCTATCCACATTCACAAGGGATCACTACTAGACGGTGATACGTAACACAGTAGTTGATTGAGCATGGAACTGGACGGCGATACGTAATGCAGTTTCCATTGCCAAGTTTTAGGTATGCAACCGGACGGCGATACGTAACGCGATAGTCAAAACTAACTTTGAGGGAAACACCATTGTGAGGGTAGCCATTTTTAAGTAAGGCTAGTAGTGGCGCCAGCTAAGTCGAGGTAGGGGCCCCACAATAAGATAAAGGATGAGATAACACAGTATTAAGAGTTAAGGTTTTTAAGGGTGTAAGTAAGAACAACTTCCACATGTTTAAGTAAGCGTTTTAAGCAAAGTACTCAAGTATTCGAGATTTAAAACGTAAGGGCGTAGACTGACCCCAACTCACTCACCAGTTTGAAGACGAAGAGCTAGAAGAGCAGTTAGAGAGTAGTTGGAGCGAGAGAGACGGTTCGAGGGGAGCCAGCTGGAGGGGGACGGTACGAGCTTCACGGAGGATGTCAAGTCAAGGTTTTCAGTAAGCAACAACAATAAATACTATTATTTATTACATTTTATGATTATGAGTATAGACTGGAGATCAAGTTGAGACTTTGAGTTTGCTTAAGTGTCAGGACTTCGAGTTTAAGTAATGACAGTTGTTTTCAATATTTATTAAAGTTATTTATAAAATGTTTCCGCTATTTTTCTAAGTATTTTTAATTCTTATTTTATTCCACGGTTTATCAAGGGCATTTTAGTATAAGTAGTGCTCGGCTGAGCTAAGGTGTTACATAATTCATCGAATATATTAACCCCATTCCATCACTACTTTTACGCTACTCATTTGATTCCATCGCACACGTCATTCTCATGCTTTCCACTTGTCATCCCCCATGGATTAGAACTTTCTTTTAATTACATAGCTGCGACATAGAAGGTAGCTTACCTAGTCGCTTAGAAGGCTTTCGTCGATCTCTTTTTTTGCCTACCTCCTCATCGTTGCTAACCTAAGAGCTTAGTCAAGCCCTTACCTCCCTGCAATATTCTCGTCCGCTTGGCATTCCGGTCCACGACCGATGTCCCCATCTTCTGCTCTGATGCCATCATTTATCAACCCAATTTTATCCATTTGTGTTTTCGTCTCAGGGCAAACGAAGACCACACCTCTTGTCCCACTCTTTGCTTTGATGCCGCCCATCAGTCTCTATTTCCATCTCTCTTGTCCTCTTTTATTTGGTTACCATCGACACTCCAGGTTGAGAGATTATAGAAATCGATGGGGAGGCCCGCTGCTATTGGGTTTCGGCTACCAGGGGGTTTTTGACGTATCATGTTACACCCTGCTCTTTTTGAAAGTCAAAATGACCATTTTACCCATGGTTTAATTCGTCAAGTTCCACCGTAGTATTGATGAGGATTAAAAACGTGAACTAACGGCTCGAACGGGGTCGAATTTCGATATTAAACGGCGATATTAGGTACGTAAGTCGGGTGGTGATCCTTGATCCAATTAATTATCTAGGTCAAGTTTTGTTATGTAGGATGGCGGGCTATAGAAAGAAAAGGACGAATTGGGATTGAGCCCATTTTGGGAAGTAAAGGAAGGGCGGGCCTCATTGGTCGCTCAAAAGGAAAGAAGAAGAAAGAAGGGGAGGCAGAGATGGGCTTAGCCCGAGCCGAGAGAAGGGGAGAAGGAGTGGGTTGGTGACTCAGTGGAAAGAAGAAAGAAGAAGGGCTTAAGCCCGTTGGAGGAAGAAGGGAGAGAGGGAGAGGGCCTAGCCGCCTGGTCGCCCTCCTCTGGGTGAATTCGACCAGAGGAAAACGAAAAGGAAGGGGAGGAAACAGAGCAGCTGCGAGAAGTAGGGATGGCAATAAAACCCGAACCCACGGGTACCCACCCGACCAACCCGGTCAACGCGGGTAAAACCCGTGTTGATGGGTTTTGGGCCGGGTTTGGGTTTAAACCCGCTACACTATTCACCGGGTCATATAATTACTTTCCCGGTATATTTAATATTCTAAATAATATATCTTCTTTAAACAACTAATATTCTTTATGTTTGTGGAGACATGTATAATTTGTTCTTTCTAATTGTTTAGAATGAAGTTGATATTATGAAGTGAAGAATGAAGAAACTTAGTTGACGAGGAAGAAGCTTTCAATTAATCTTATTGTTTATAGATGTTTATCTTTAATTTTGAACAATTTGTATTGATCATTTGCGGTTTGCTTGTATGCTCTAGATTGGTGTTTTTTGTATGATTAATTTGTATGAGAAAATTGATGTTAAACTTTTATTTTGAAAGAAACTTGTTATTGTAAATTTTTTACTAGAAAAACCCACGGGTACCCATGAACCCGCGGATACCCAGCGGGTTGGGTTGGGTTTGAGTTTTTCAAACCCAACGGGTTTTACCCCGGGTTTTTTTGGCGGATAAACCCATGGGTTTGGGTTTGACAAAACCCGCCCCAACCCGACCCATTGCCATCCCTAGCGAGAAGTGAGGCGTCTTTGAGAAAATGGGGATGGAAGCTAGAAACGGAAACATTAAATTCAAGGTTTAATTGGATTAATGGGCGATTAATTATGAAAGGATTAAATCAAGGATTTGTGGGATCCGTTTTTGGCCACATGGAAAAAGACCGAGAAAAGAGAAGGGTGGCAGAGGCGCGAGCAGAGGAGAAGAACAGCGCATAATCGAAGAAGAAGAAGAGAGGAGAGTATGGTGTGTTCCACGACTTGAACGCTGGCACGGCAAGGGAGGGGTCGACGCGAGCTGAAAGAGGAGGGAGGAGAACCCGAACCAGAGTGGTGGCCCGTGGACGCAAGAGGGAGCCCAAGAACTCGACGACGGCGTCCGTAGTAGGAGCTGGCATCGATGTAGCCAAAAAACAGATGGGAGACAGTGTAGGTGCGAGGCCGCTGGGTTACCCTCCGAAACGACCAAGGGTACTCGCGACCCGCCACTGGCCTCCGAATTGTGGGTCGAGAAGGGATGGCGGAGCTAGCAGCGGCGGAGGTGGAGCTACAGCGACGATGACCCCGGGAGAGACGCTGCCCGAGGAAGAGGAAGAGTACCCAGGAGAGGGTTTTGGCGAGGAAGTGGAGAAGGAAGGAGTGGGAGGGAATGGCGACGCCACGGAAGAAGAAGAGTAGAAGGTAAACTCTCCTCCCACTGTTTTGGAATTTAATGACATCGAATTGGAAATTTGATGAATAGTAAGGGGCGTATATGTCTTTTTGGAGTTGGGGCGATTTGGTAAAATTTAGGAAGTTTAGGCGCCGTAAAATAATTGACCAGGCTTGGGGTGAGTTCGCAAAGAGTAAATATTTGAGTATCGGATTGGAAATAAGCCGTTTGGACTAGAATGTTGAAATTAGAAAGTGGGGATTGGCCCGAGGGACTAAATTGTGTAATTCTGGAAGTATGGGGCCGAACTGATAAGACGTAGGGGTTGAGGTACCATTCTGTAATTTGCCAATTTGGGGCAGAAAGGTAATTTTCCATATTTTCATGGGGAATTGTAGGAAAGGTTAAATGGAGTAATTTGGGATTGGAATTAACCAAATTGAAGGTCATTTGATTAGTTGCGCTTAGAGATAAGTAAGTTAAGTTTTGCCTAAATACGTAATAGGAGGAAATGCAAAAGGAGGCGAAGCATGACAAGTTGGAGCGTGGAGTTTCAGACGATGACATGGATCAACCGGCAATTAAGGAGGGTCATCTTTTCGAGGTGAGTGTAAAGGGGGTAATATCTCGGACGTAGGTCTTTTAGTTATGTCTTTTATTTCTAATAATGCTAGTTAATTTTGAGTTTGTGCGATTATGTGTGTGAGGCATCCCACAGCCTAATTAAGGTGGAGGCACGCGTTGTGCTATGTATGTGAATGTGTGCGGTTGTTGGTAAGATGAATCCCCGGGCGGTTGGGCCAGTACTGGACGCAGTAGATGGTCGGATCACTGCTGGACGGCGAGACGTAACGCAACAGTTGATCAAGTATGTTGGGGTCACTACTAGACAGCGAGACGTAACGTAGTATTTGACCGGGCATGGACTGGACGACGAGACGTAATGCATTTCCATTGCCGAGTTTGGGCATGCAACCGGACGATGGGACGTAACGCGGTTGGCATACTAGGTTAGGACACCAGACGGCGAGAGGTAACGCGGTGGTCCTAGTATTTTGTGTTTGAGTTAAGGATAGAAGTCGAGAACTTCTATGAGTTAACATTGGAGTGAGTTATTAAGGATGAAAGCGAGAACGACTTTCATCTAAGGAAATGAAACGCTAATAACTTGTTTTAGTAAGGAGGTTTCTTAGGGCAAAGATCTTAGGAAGTAGCGACGAGACTGGCCCCTTCTCACTCATAAGGTCGAGGAAAGGTTAGCAGAAGTAGATCACGAGAAGAAGCCGGGCGAGGTGAGCAGCTGCACCAGCGTTGGTAGGATATCAGGAAGCTCGTGAGGAGTCAAGTTAGAATAGTTAATTATTTTGTTCATGGTTATTAGTGTAAACTGGAGATTGTGGGTTATGCTGTTTGAAATATTTAGATTGTGATTGCCCAAGTGTTGGGGTTTTTCGTTTGAAATTCTTAATTTGTGTCAGTTTGTTTGTTTTAAAAAGTGGTTTTGGTTGCTCCAGGGTAACCGGTTTTTGGTTTGAGTTATGGTTTGGTTTTCGAAAAAGATCGGGATGTTTCATGTCAGGTTTAGGTTTAGGCTTAATTTGTCTAAGTGAAGCCGAGTGGGGTTGGCAGTATTTAGGGTTTTATTGCCTGGGGTTATTTTGGGAATTTCGCAATTACATATGAGTTTAATTCCAAACTCAGTTAACGTCCATAATTTTCTTGTTTAATGTCGAAACTAAACACCGATTGAACCGAGAGTTAACATATTAGTCCTCATCGATAATACGGTAGAATTTGACAAATATTCCAGAGGGTATAACGATCATTTTGACTTGAGGAAAGTGTGGGGTGTAACATAAAGTATTCAAAAGGACTGGTGGCCTTGTGTCTCTACGTATTTGGATTTGGTAGTATATGCATGTGTTTACAGAAACGTGAGCTGAAATTGTGAATTCACAAGCAATTTGAAGATGTTCTGGAGATTCAATGGAAAGTTAGGATATTCTGGGGGAACAACATGGTGATGACACTGTTCGTTGCAGATGGAAGAGAAGCATCTAAACTCATACAGAGCAACAAATTTGGATCAATAATTTCAGATCCGGTTGTCCTGAATTTTGGAGCATAAAGAAATTCATATCTGAAATATACTACTTGGTTGTTGCCCAGTTGAGGAGAATTGAAATCCCTAGTAGTTCTAAGAGTGCTACCTAATGGAGGAGACATGAAAAGGGAAATGAGAGATGATCGCGAAAAGCTCCATATTCGAGTCGTATATGGAAGAAAGCTTCAAAGAGAGATGGATGAATGAAAGCAAAAACAAAAGGAAAGGGAGAGAGGGACAGATGTGGAAGGGTGGGGACTAAAAAACGCAACAATTGGAATTGCCTACCCCCTGTGTTATTTCAGATTGCTTCGATATGCTGCAATTTCAATTGCCGCGTAAAGAATGCTGCATTTCCCCCCATTCTCAAATGTCAAATTCCCCCCCAAAGAGCAAAGCTTCAGTTAGGAAGCTATTTGATTCAAGGTTGTTCAAATCCAATAACAAGCAACCCGAAACGAAAGCTGCATCATCTGCTAGATTGTAGCTACAACAACCACAATTGTTCATTCGTGATAATGCTCGAAACAAGAGTGGCAGCCTAAGGAAAGTAGGATGGCCAGTTGTAATAATACGAGTCTCGGTGGTCCTTGTCCATGCACTCATTCCAGTGCACAGAAACACAAGTGATTCCACATCAAGTAGCGATCCAACTACCAACTTGGAAAGGCATAATAGAGAGCATACTTTACAATTTCTTTGATAAAGTCTGCCAGATGTACCTTAAATTTGTAGGACTGATTCTTGGCCCTAGCTTTCTGACTCGTCCCGAATATCACAATAAATTCCCACCTAAGGCCCACAAATTGGTTTTTGGTTGAAAACTATGAGATTTAAATCAAAACAAAGCAAAGGTGAATGGTTTGAAAGCTCTAGATGAGAAGGATCATTCTGGTGTCGCTTCCCCCTAACTTCTACCATGGCATGTGGACTCGAATGGGACGTTATGGGCAAGGCAATCATGAACCGCTTGGAGGTGCAACTATGGTCGAGGACCATACTCTCAATTTCCAAACCAAGGGATACATTATAGGCTACAAGGGTTGACTTACCTTCTCCCTAAAATCGATGGTTGGACGGCTTAATCATGATTAACCTAGTTGCTTAATTCAAGATAGAGGTTTGCCCTACATTAACCTAGGTAGGTGGCTTGTCAAGCCCAAGGAATCCCAACTCAATTGAGCCTCTTTTAGAAAGGGGGGTTTCCCCTCTAACCTATGTTAGAATGGCCAATTAGATTGCTAAGCACACACATGCACAATCATCATGAAAAATACCTCAATCATTATATCAAACAACACCCATAAACAATCATTCAAGTCACACTACAACTACATGGCAAATAGTTAGGGTTTCACAACACCTAGTGAAAAAGAGTACTACTCCATGCTAAAAAGGGGAAGAACACAAGAAAAAGAGGTAGAAACCATCATGGTGATTCCTCCAATTTCCTCTAAGCATGTGTTGATCTTCTCTAGGGGAGATTCTTCCCAATTCACCACTTGGAGCAAACCCTGGCCTTCCTTCTTCCTTGGTTCGTCCTTTCTCTCTCTAAAATTTGAAGAAGAAGACACTTTCTCACACTTGGGCTCCCCCTCTCTATTCCTTTCAGCTCACCCTTTATACCAGGATCGGGCTCAGTTCGCGGCCCCAGTTCACGGCCGTGAAATCTTTAACGCGTTTGTGAACACAAGCGCGATGTTGATACGCACCGCTTCGCCATCAGGAATTCACGGTTTGGCCTCAATCTTCACGGTCTTGTTGACTGACTCGTTCTAACTACAACATCCCAATCGACAGCCAAGTATAACCGCCGACAGGGTGTAGCATAGGGCAAGCAAGCAATAAAAATTTATCGTACCACAGGGATCTAGGCTTACCCTACTTCAGGTTTAGGGTTCATTATCAAGCCAATCCTAGGATGGTGATTAATAAAATTAATCTAACTAACCTAGTTAACAACTAACCTAGCTATTTACAAGGTTGGAGCTCACTTGGGTAGATCGTCCTAGGTCCGTTCTTTGAAAAAATGTTGTGTATCCTCCTAGCTCGATCGACTCAAATACACTACCCTTTGGAGATGGACTCCCTCAGAAATGGCCCAGAACGGCGAATCGATGGATGGGTAGTGTTCTATTCAGCCTAGGGTTTCGTATAATGCTAGGAGACCGGTCAAATAAAATCCCTCGGAGACTACCCGGACAATATACTATAGGAGTGACTCGAAGATGCCAAGGAAGGGGCTCTAAGGGGATTATCCCACTCCTAGGTCAAAAGCTCAAAGCATGAAAATGGAAACCACACTTATGCCATTCATGAAAACATCCATCAATTAAGTAAAATCATCAATCAAACATGGAATGTTCACATACATCAACATAAAACCCAAATCTGGACCTAGGGTTCTTCAACCCAAGAGAAGAGGGTGAGTTTATAGAGAGAGAGAGAGAGAGAGGAGAGATTACAAAGAAACCTCTAGATCTTCATCTTCTTCTTCTAGGCTTGATTCCTAGCTTCCAAGCTTGATCAATACCTTCAATTAAGCCCCAAGATCACTCCCTCTCTCACTAGACTCCCATTTGATGTTTTGGGTTGAAACCCTAGAGAAAGAAAGTGTTCCTTCTCCAAAAACCAGCCCCCTTTCTCTCTCCCCGGTGTTTTCTTCATATTTGCCCGAAAGTGACCAGTTCACGACCGCGTTGGCTAGTTCACGGCCGTGAACACCTAAACGCGTCTGTGAACTCAGCGTCGTCTCCAAAATGTACTGCTTCACTCTCTTGGGTTCACGGTTTGTGTCCAAGTTCACGGTCTTAGAGACCGTGAACTCGTCTCGCGGTAGTAACTGCGGATTTCTCCCTGGACGCCTCGATGTTCACGGTTACGGGCAATTGTCATGGTCTTGGCACTTTTTGACCTCCAATCGACCCGAAACTCGTCCTCGACCTCCCCACACGTGCTAGGACCTTGAATGTATCAAAACAAGAACAAACTAGTGTGAAATATGTTGAGGAACGATGAAATGCAAAGTCAAAATTTCAAGAAATGAGGGGCAAAATGTGTACATTTGGACCCGAATCACTCCCCCACACTTGAACGTTTGCTTATACCCAAGCAAATCATTTTCAACCTGGGTAATATTTCAACCTACAAAGATAGCTAGTGGACATTTCAAAAGGCACAAGGTTGTGA